GTATCCCTCTGGAGAATGCTTCCTCCTAAGAATGAGAATAAAACAAGAGACATGAAAAAAGAGGGAGTGCTGTTGGAGAGTTATTGGTCTGGTAGAAAAAGGGGGCTTGCCAACACATCAAAATAGAGCACGAGTGTTGAACAAGACAGAAACTTTCACCATTTACACCTGACAGAGAGAGAGAGAGAGAAAGAGAGGAGGGGGAGAGCGATTTCCATAAACACTTCATGATGCGAAGTGCAAGAGTCGTAGCTTCCTGTCACAGCCAATCTGAAGAAGTGTCACCCGCAACACGTTGGCGCCACGGAGGGGTGTTGCATGTTGGATTTTAGGTTACACAGACTGCTATTTGTAAAGCGGAGAGTAGACGGCACTTTGGAACAGTGGTACGGCTTTGAGAATATAAACTCAGTGGGGCAAAGGACTGTGCATTTGGAACATCTGAGGAAGTAATGGAAAGTCATTTAAAACAATTCTGTATGCTTTTGGACTGACCAAAGAAGAGGTCACTTGCTTCTGTGACAGGGATGTGCATTGCTTTCCTTTTAGAGCCTTTTGCTTTATTCCTCATAATATGTACAGTTTTCCATTGCATAACCTAAAGACAGACACAGGCACAGACGCACTCAGGACCCAGTGGAGAGATGAAGCTTACCTTCAAACACCCATCTGGTCCATGAGCCAGACCCCCACTGCCGACCACCGCTCCCAGTGCAGAGGGAACTGGAGGTACTAAAACATCCATCCATCCATCCATCCATCCATCCATTTTCTTCCCCTTAATCCATTTCTGGGTCGGGGGGGTGGCAGTCAGAGCTGCACCCAGTCACAGAGCACCAGCCCCTCACTGATCCTCCTGCAGGTGGTGAGTCCACAGGAGCTGAGATCTGTCAGTGGGGGCTTCAGGCAAAGTGGGGTTAAGTGTCTTGCCCAAGGACACAACGACAGCTGTCATCAGTGGGAGTCGTGAAGTAGGTCTTGAGGTGGGCTCGAACCCACGACCTTCAGGCTCAAAGGCCAATGCTCTACCAACTGAGCCACTGTCGCCGGTACTAAAACAATAAAAGTTAAATATTGAAGTGTAAGGACTTAACCACAATATATAATAAAACAGAGTTTGTATAAAAGTAAAACAAAGGACTCACACCTGTTAACCGGGCAAAATGTTTGGTCAGGCATTCATTAGCGAATAAACTGTCAGTTACTTAGTGGTTATCGATGAACATCCCAAATGACAAATTTACAACACACTTCTGTCTGCTATGACGACACCTGAGGTACACTATTTAGCAAATTATTGATAAAACAATGTTTGAAAAGAAACACGTCTGTTCACTGTATTCAGTCCTACAGATGGAGCCACCTCAGTAAATTGTAGTCACATGGTTACATATTAAGAAAGGAAAGTCAGCAAGTAAGTTGAATTTATGAGGTGGACGTGATCAGAGGAGTCGGGGATGGCATATCGAAAAGGCAATTTTGCATGTTGCGTCCATTTAAATGAAATTTAGATGCAGATTATATAAATGTACAAAGCAGAAGTAGTGTACAAGTTCTATTAATTCATTATTTATGTGTGGTATATTGTCTTTTACACTGAAAATGCCATTTTTCAATTGACAGATATCAACTGCATAATTGTGTGAATCACTTTTGTTGGAAATCCTGCGTAAAACCTCTGATCTTGACCCAGTACTGAAGAAGTCATCCAAAAATATATGGGCCAGAATGAACTAAGCCAAATGACCCCTGCTGCCATTTATTACCAGTTTTTGGCCCACATAATATGGAAGCTTTTGTGTTTGTCCACAAGTTTGGTAGAGGTCAATATATGAGCATAGCCAGAACAAGGTCCACATCTAGCTATAGGGTATGTGCTTGCGAGTATTTTTTACAAAGACATACAGTATAACTTTCACCAGACATAGCACCCATGCGTCTATTCTTTAAACATTGTATTTACTACTATCTATTACAGGAAGTATTTATGAAGACTCTAGGAAAGGGCCTATTGTTTTAGCTCGAGAGATGTCAAATTCTGCACTTTGAGCCTTGACCCCCTGAACATGCATGAAAAGTTGTAACATTTTGCCCAAAAATCAGACCTGGCGAAAAAATTGATATTTTGGTGTTTATTTTTATGGGACTCAAAAAATGCCAGAACAGCGCCACCTACAACAGCCAAAATAATACCCCTATGGGAGTTTTGTAGATCAAGTTTGTCGTAGAGCCATGAAATTTGGTACACATGTTCCTCAAGTCAAGACATGAAAAATAAATTATTTTGGCCCCGCCCTCTGACAAACAGGAAGCCCATAAATTTCACTGCAAAATGGAAAAATGAACAGGAATAGTTTTCATGGTCCGTGTACGTCGCGGCCATTCTATTTTTGATTAGGAAAGAAAATACAAAAAACGAATATTGGCCGTTTCCCGTTTTCCGTTTTCAAAATAAAATGTAGAAAACGAGAATTTAATCCGTTTTTCGATTTTGTGTTTTAAAATTAAAAAACGGATAACGAAAAACAGGTCATAATCCGTTTTTCCATTACACATTTACACAAGAAACACCAACATCGAAAAACCACGGCAAAAATTTGATTTTCCATTCTTGATCTTATTTTGAAGCTACAGATTAACGATTATGTTAACAATATCAACACTCACAAAATAAAATTCATTATGAAGAGGAGAGCAGATTAATTAAAGATTACAAGATATAGAATAATATTAATGTATATCAGCGGACACCATTAGCCTTTTTAGATGGCTAACCGTTCACTAGCATAAACACAGTAGGTTTTGCTATTTAAATTTATAAACTTACCTGGAAAATGGTGCCAATCTTATCCACTGTCATGTCGACATCTTTTAAAGTAACCCGTTTGCTGTCTCGATACAAAACAAAAGTTTTCTCCAACTCTGGTATCTCCATTATCATTCAAAAAACTGGAAAACTCTGACTGTGCGGGAAAGCCTCAACAGCTTCCGGGTCAGCTTCAAAATAAGATCAAGAATGGAAAATCAAATTTTTGCCGTGGTTTTTCGATGTTGGTGTTTCTTGTGTAAATGTGTAATGGAAAAACGGATTATGACCTGTTTTTCGTTATCCGTTTTTTAATTTTAAAACACAAAATCGAAAAACGGATTAAATTCTCGTTTTCTGCATTTTATTTTGAAAACGGAAAACGGGAAACGGCCAATATTCGTTTTTTGTATTTTCTTTCCTAATCAAAAATAGAATGGCCGCGACGTACACGGACCTTTCATACATGTCGGTTGGAAATCTTCTCCTCCTCGGCCGTTTCACTGATTCGCCTCAAAATCGCTCCACATCATCTCAACACATGTACCTTCAAAATGGCCTCAGGGATTTTTGATCAGTAAAACGTTGTTTGAGCAGCCGAGCGGCAAAAATTGCGGTTGTTTTGGCCGTTTTTGACAATATTAAATTTGCTCCCGTTTGCACATACAAAGTCTGATTCGCACAAAACTTCAATACATTGTTCAAGTCTAGGGTCTAGGTCATTTGAATCCTACAGACTATTTCAAAGTTTTATATATAGGAATTTTCACATTTAGTTTTTTCAAACTTGTTGGTAGAGCATTAGCCTTAAGGCCAGAAGGTCGTGGGTTCAATTCCCACCTCTGCACCATCTCCATCGACTCCCACTGATGACTGCTGTCGTTGTGTCCTTGGGCAAGACACTTAACCCCACTTTGCCCAAAAGCCCCCACTGAAAGATCAAGGCTATGCTCACACTCAAAGAGCAGCCGTCCTCCTGTGGACTCACCACCTGCAGAGGGTCAGTGAGGGGCTGGTGCTATGAGACTTGAGTGGCATCTCTGATTGCCACCCCCCTGACCCAGAAATGGATTAAAGGGTAGAAAATGGATGGATGGATGGATGGAGTTTTTTCAAAATGTTTGAAATTTTGCACATACATCTGTTTTACCATGGCTTTTTTTTTACCCTGTTGCCGTGGCGACGGCAAACGCTCCCCATTAATTATCTATGGCAATTGTACACCTCGCACAAACATCAAACCAGCCTCGGCCGTTCCACAGATTTGGCCGAAAATTGCTCCACATCATCTCAACACATGTACCATCAAAATGACTTCAGGGAATTTTGATCAGTGAAACATTGTTTGAGCAGCAGAGCGGCAAAATGTGACATTTTTCCCCATTTTGAGAATCGAAACATAGCTCCCCTTTGCACAAACCAAGTCCAAATTGCACAAAATTTGAATCAGTTGTTCAACTTTTGGGTTTGGGTAAACTGAAAGTGTAAAACATTAAATTGCAGCGTTAGCGCCCCCTACAGACTGAGTGAAGTTTTAGATGGGTGAGAATGGCATTTACTAAGTCTGATTTGCACTAAACTTGACTCGGTTTTTCAACTCCTGGGCCTAGGTCGCCTGAATGTCTAAACAATGACATTGTCCCATTAGCGCCCCCTACATGCTGAGTAAAACTTTTATAAAGGGGACACAGCACATTAAGTTTTCCTGTTGTTTGATCTCATATTTGACCCACTGAGCATGCACAAAAACTCACCATATTCTTTTATTAAGTTTTTTTCTGGCAGCAAATGATCTATTTTTATGTCTTTGGTAAAAGACAAAAAAAAAGTATTTGTAGGAGGCGCTGTTATGCACTGTAAGTGGCCAATGTTTGCACATGCAAAGTCTGATTTGCTCAAAATTTTATTTGATAGTTCAACTCTCGAGTTTGGGTAAACTGAAAGTGTAAAACATGAAATTGCCCCATAAGCGCCCCCTACAGACAGAGTCCAATGTTACATGGGGAGAATGAGATTTAATTTTTCAATAGAGACACACAATCATTGATCATAGACATTCAAAATACACAGTGTCGCTCCCATCAGGGCTTTAGGAAGATGGTGCGTCACATGGTCACCCATATATATGGACACACTCACAGATTGTATGTGTAAACAGGAGCACATGTATAAAGTCTGATTTGTACCCAGCGGCTCACGCGATTTGGCGACCCCCACGGTGCGGGGAGTTGCTCTCTGCGGGGAGTCGCGCTCTGCGGGGACTCGCTCTCTTTGGGAGTCGCGCTCTGCGGGGAGTCGCGCTCTGCGTGGGGTCGCGCTCTGCGGGGCGTCGCGCTCTGCGGGGCGTCGCGCTCTGCGGGGAGTCGCGCTCTGCGGGGGTCGCGCTCTGCGGGAAGTTGGGCTCTGCGGGGGTCGCGCTCTGCTGGGAGTCTCGCTTTGCGGGGATTTGCGTGCTTCGGGACGTGGCGCGGTGCGGGGAGTGGCGCAGTGCGGGGAGTGGCGCGGTGCGGGGAGTGGCGCGGTGCGGGAAGTCATGCGATGTGGCGATGGCCGTTCGACGCCGCTTGCGGCTTTAATTTGTCTTTTCTTCCTCTCCATACTGCTGTTAATTTGAAATTTACTGAAACTGAGCCTAAACTAGCACAAAATAAATCAGTTAATGTTATGCTAAAAATTGTATATACACTTGTTTTGAAGTTGGAAGGACCAAGCTGTAAAGTCATACCAGATGTTTAGTGTTGTCCCTATAAAAACTGAATTCATTATACATCGGGTTCCCCCCCGGATGGATCTATTAAAAAAATCATTTGGCACCAAAAACATCATTACATCAAACCTACAGCCAAAAACTACTCAATATTTTGCCAAATGTCAGGTGACTCATCAAAAGGAGCCGCACCCTGTCAAAAGCAATGGCGTGTCCATCGGGGAAACCTCAAATCTCTCTGGACCTCATTATATAATCGGGTACAAGATCCTATAGCCCATCCCATTAATGACACCAGGATATAACACATCGGGATCAGCCAGACAGCGAGATAAAATGGGACCGAAAGAGCCGGGGCATAGAAGGGAGAGCATGGCTGGAGAAGGGCAGTCCATTGAGGTCAGGATGACAGAGCAGAACAGATGAGACGGGGCGGCGCAGGAGGAGGAGTGTTAGGTGGGATGTTGTCGAGGGGTAAAGTGGGGGGTACAGGAGGCGAGAAACTAGGCCAATGTCCAGACCCTGAGCACCAAAGGCCTCTTGTCCCTAGATGATCGTGTCAAGCATCTGACAGCAGAGATGGGACTGTAACATTGAGTTTTTCTGCAACATGCAGCCTGTCTCCTCTCAGGACCCCATCTCTCTTCTTTACTCCCTCTCTATCCCTCTCTTTTCTCAGCGCTCCTGACGCTTCACCAGTCACACTCTGAGCACACAAATATTCTCGTTACAATAAGGAGGGCACATGGCATGGGACCGCCAGCTCTTTGACTGTGCGCCCTCCTCTTGGAAGAGTGTGGGGATCTTTCTTGCAAAGAAAAAATACAAAAAAAGCAGAGTGTAGGTCCCCCACGATGCTTAAAGGGAACAAAACATTAAAAATCGACTTTTTACAGATTTTCACCATGTTGTAGTTGTTTTAGATTGTTATTTATGCACTGAAATGCGTGCCTGTCTGAGTCCTTTAAATGTTGTTATATGCGAGACAGCATTTTGCTTCCTGAACTCCTGACCACGGCCCCATAGGCACTCGTGCAACTCGATCTGCCGTGGAGTGGTGTCTTTTTGTCAATGTTTCATAATGTCACATAAAAGGGGCATCTGGTCTTCTAAAGTATGCACACGTGTTTCTTTAATAAAATTGTTTTAGATCAATATTGAGCTATATTATAATATAAAGTTGTGTTTGAAAGTTTACACATCCAGCCAGAAATTGTTAATTGTTTTGGCTGAACAATGATTGAATACACAAATAAAAAAACATTTCCCACCATTTTTTTGATACTTGTGTAAAGCTAATCCATTCATTCTCAAATAAACAAATAAATACATTTTCTATGTTCAAGTTATAGCCTTATTGAGGTGCTCTGGGGAGCTCTCAAACGTGCAGTTCATGAAAGGCAGCCCAGGAAGTTACAGCCAAGAGGAATGGGCAGTTATACCATCCGAGAGGATATAGAACCCCATCCACAACTACCAAAAGGGACTCCAAGCTGTCATAGATGTTAAAGGGGAAATTCACACTATTGAGAACAGGGGGATGGAGATTTCTGATCAGAATAGTTTTTGTTTTCATTCATTTCAAAATTTCTGTATGGCGCAGAATGTTATCATTTTGTTTGGCTCAAAATAAAGTATTTCATAATAATTCACACTCCCACTTTGGGTAGCACGGTGGCTGAGTGGATAGCACTCTCGCCTCTCAGCAAGAAGGTCCTGAGTTCGAATCCCGGTCGGAACAGGGTCTTTCTGAGTGGAGTTTGCATGTTCTCCCCATGTCTGCGTAGGTTTCCTCCGGGTACTCTGGTTTCCCCTACCACTAAAAATACGTACAATAGGTCTGGCATGCGCCTCCTGTACTGGCGACCCTGCTACAAAATAACAATTGTAAACCACTTTGAGACTCTGACCTGCAGTGAAAAGGCGGTATATAAATAAAGATTACTTACTTACTACCCTCTAACAATGAGTTTCCGTTATCATTCATATTCACTCATATATACGGCTAATAATAATCAACCTTCCCCCAAGGGTGTGTAATCATTCAAGCACATCTGTATAGCTGACAGAAGTTTTTTTTTTTTTACTCTGAAACTGCAACACAAGCAGCTTCTGTCATTCCATTGGCTTCACTTCAACAGGGAAGCAGTTTAGTCCATGTCCCCCACTCGAAATATCAGCTAACTCTGCCATTCGCTCACTACCTGATCATATAACATTTTCATAATTATAGTCAAGGTTAATCAGGGGCTCTATTAGCTAAGCATTTAAGTCGTGTTGGAGATACAAAGCAGAGAGTCAAATGAAGATTACATTTTTAAATCAAACACACACGTCCTGTGGGAGCACTTCTCTGAGGAGGACACAGGTTTAATTATCTGAGCTGTTCTGGGGAGAAGCTCTGAAAACTCTTTAACTCCCCTATGTTTGTCTTACAGGCTCGGGAGTATTTATTAGAATTCATTTGACTGGCAGTTATTGTTTTTGCAGCGGATGATTGTCACCTTTTTGAGTGTAACAGGTGAGGGAATATGTCATAACTTATTTTTAAATTAAAAATAGGCCTGCATGTTATTTGTCTCAATAGAAAGAGTGTTGTAAAAGTAACATATTGTGAACAAATCAGACCACGACATGCTGTTTTCACCTGCGAGAGAAAACTTTTTCATACAGAGCCCTGTGAGTCACCATTTGACGCTTTGGGCTGAGAGTTGATGATTTAGAGTGGGCCTCTCTTTTTTTACTTTTATTTCTGAAAAACCTGATTTAAAGATGTAACAGAGATAAATGCATTTATAAAGGACAGAACTATTGGCAACTTTTAAAGGCATCCAAGATAAGTTGTGATTTAGGGCTCAGCAAAAAACATTTGTGGAGGCATCTAAAAAAAATCTAGATGCCTCCACAAATGACAAGTTCTTGAGGAAGCCAAAAGGCATCATTGTTTCCACCCTTTAAAGCCTATTGTTATTTTTAACCAAGTGTAATTAGCTTGATACAATTTTGATGATCAGGCAAAACCACAAAGAAATTAAAGCAAAATAGTTCTAACAAACAGTTTTAACAAACTTTGGCAAAACATTTGTCCACATCCAATTTTATGATTATTAACCAGATTCTGTGCTCTTAATTTACTTGAATTAATTTATATTATATTATTGCCTCAAAGCATAATCCATTTATCACTTATTCCCTGCTGGTACAAAACACCTATTTCAATGTTGGCGCTCTTAAAGTAGGCCAACTCCTCTCCCAAATGGGCATTTCTTTTTTCAAAAATAAAGCTCCATTTGGGCAACCTGACGCCCATAATTCATCATTATTTAGCCACCTCCCGTCGACAGTGCATTACACATGGAACACCAGCTGTGCCCCATCACAGCTCCTGTCCCTGGACCTTCTCACCTTTCCTCCGCTCGGCTCGTCGAAGCTCAGAGTGGAGTTTTTCCTCTTGTTCATCTCCAGCTTGTGTCTGCTTCTTCTTATCTCGCTGACATCCTCCTGTAATGGGGCCTGGCACACGTCCCGTTCTCTAACGAACTGTGTGTGGAGCGGCGTGGGCGGTGTTTAGGGAGGTGAGAGAGAGTCTTTGGGACCCACTAATCAGCTCCAAAGCCATGGGCCCAGGTGGGGCAGATGTGGTGGACAGGTAAGGGGAACCATGCTGCAGCTCCCCTCCTTAGTGCCAGGTCAGCATCGGCGCTATCCGTTATGTCCCCTCCCTAGCTGTCCCCACTATCCCACCGTGGAATACCTCCAGGGGGTCCCCAGCACAGACCAGATGCTATACCAAAGGAGAGTCCCCCCAAACGTACGTACGGTGGGCCTCTTGTGTGCTAACCTTTTCTTTTAATTACCTCAACCCAAACTCCCTAACTCCCCCCACCGCTGTCCAGAGAGGGCCCCGTGCAACTGTCAGAGAACACAGCAAAAGGGGAAACTAGGTTAGTTCAAATATTTTCAATTTAGAATGTTTATTTTGTTTTCGAGGTATTTCTTTAAGCCTGAGTGATGTTTTGTATTTTCAATTTCAGAGAGCACTTTAGCCTTTATCTGACAAAGCAGGTGTAGTATGAATAAAGAGGAAAAAGATATTCGGGAAATGGCTGAGAGACAAACCGACCTCCTAAAATTTTAACGATAACATTATAAGTGAAATTTTTTAAGTTTCAAAGAAAATATGTATTGTCAAGGTTAAAACAACGACATTTTGTTTGTCACATGGGAGTTTCCATGTCGGGGGGCTGTGGGTATAGGCTACACCGCTCAGATACTGTAGCAAGAACAATATCACTTATATTTTAGATTTCAAAGTTTGAACAGATCCACATATTTTGCAATTTTGTAGAGTGAGGGCGTACCCAAGGCCCTGGTGGCAGCAGTGTTCCATGGGTTGAAGAGCTAAATATTGTTCCTATGGCCCGGGAGCCTAATCCTTGAGAGCCAAAGCTTTATCCAACATGCTTTCACTCATACACTTCCATCAGCCCCTTATTTCCATGGGATATACCAGAGAAGTCAATTAGACATGCTGATGAGAAGATGGCCGCTCTTGATTTGGACTAGTGGCTCATTAGTGGGAGTCAATTTGGAGTTGGTTAGATTACAGTATTATGAGAAAATATTATATACTTTACCTTCTCATAGATTGTTTCCATAGAGGAGTTTATAGAATATCGGGGGGGTTTGCAAATAGGGGGAACAATGTCGAGCTGTTTTAGTTGTATTGGTCTGTTGCCACAATAGTAAGCTTTAACTAAATTGGCAGTGTTCATTCCAATGATCTAATTTCTAAGCAGACCCATAGGGATGGTACACTGTTAAGTGTACCCATCATGGGTCCAACTGTTCAAGGTTTAATCAACACTGAATCCCCAATTGCATTCAGGAATCAAACATTATTCATTAAATAATTATGTTTGAGGAATAAGTACAGACATTGTATTATACTGAGCTTTGGAATCTGCTAAAATTCTATTTTATTGAATGTAGTTGGAACTCTAGACACCTTCCATAGTACCAAGTTGAAAAAATTGTACATATATTATGTATATGTATTTATGTATAATTGTATACATTTTTAGTATTATTATTTTTATGTATATATTTTCATAGATGCATTATTCAAGATGTATATACATTCCGCACTGACTTCAAACATTGATATGCATTGTGTTTATAGCTAAATAGATTTTCCATATTACGTTTTTGTAGTGGATGCCATAGTTACATTTGAAATAAATCATTGTATATTTAAAATATAGTTTGATTCCAGATTATATCTGTTACAGGCGCAATCCCTGTTACCTTCGCAATCCCTGTTACCTTCTGGTCCAGAGGGGAGGCAGTGCCACTATCTTGCTAAGAAGAAAGACTCCTGTAACTGTAATATTAAAATAAATCTTTGTACAGTCTGTTATTTCCAAAGATTTGTCCATGGATAATAGCCAATACTCTTAATAAGCTTTAATCTAAAGAATTTATAAAATGATATTACAGAATATGTGATTTAAATAATTTAATTCTGCTGCGGTGCTATCATTACCTCTCGACGGTGTGAAATGTAGTGCATGATAAGAGCAGGGCTAGTTAAATCCAGCGCTGCAATATTAGGTGACTTCCTGATTCTATCTCAAAGTGGAAATGGCCTAATGAGAGACTTGTAATGAGGAAGGAAAAAAATCACTCGTGAAAGAAAGAAAAATAGTTTGCCATCTTATCCTTTCATCTGGAGCACCGGTGCCAAGTGGAAAATGTCCATCTTTGGTCGAGTTAGATTTTTATGTCCGTCTTGGCTCTTGCTAATGCTCCCAGGGGATGGGCTTCTTGGCATGTTCATAGTGGTCACCATTTGCCGGAGACAGGCTGTGGAGGTCAAAGCCATTTGAGAAGGACATAAAACCCCTATGATTTTTGATCGCACCATGAAACCCTCCCATTGTGGCGGAATGGCTGTGCTCATGCCAGTAAGTGATTCTGGTCAGGCTGAGTGCTTTAAAGTTTGGGGAATAAATTAGCTGCTCAGAGGTGGCTTCTGTGTTTCACTAGACTGGATTTGCAGATATGCATTAGTACTACTTGCACTATTATAACACATCCGGTATGTGCAGAATATTAATACTCCCAGCCAAATAGTGTAAGCAAGAAACAGTTCTTGCTACACAGGCCAATTCCTCCAGGTGGAAAATGGCTTCCAGATTGTTATTGATGCATCTTGAGTTTCAAAAACATTATTCAGATTACGTTCTGTACTATTCACTAGTCGTGGATGCATCACTGTTTAGTTTGGATGGCCATAGCTACAGTCTGTAATTACTATTCCATTCTATTCTCTTCAGCGTTGGACTGGATCACGGAGGTCATTAACAAGTTCTGCATTCTGTTCTTGAGCAAAATTGAATTGCACCTTGAGCTAAAGCATATCTATATGTTTATGTGTTTATCTCTCAAGTTTATTGACACAAGGCTTTCAAGTTTTACATACAAACCGGCTAGTCATTTTTTTTCTGTTGGGTATTAAGAGATGGTCCTCAAATCCAAAAAAAAAAATATAAAAAATCAAGATCATTTACCACAGAGGAAATAAAGAACATATAGTTGAAGAAACGTTGTGGTCAGTTTGTGCTACCTGTCAGGCTGACCACACTTCCTCAGGAAGTATCAGCAGCTGATGAGTGACACATCAACAATAAACTGGTGAAAGTTCTGACCATGAATAATGTCGTCCAAGAACCTAAGCGGCAACATTTCAAAATAGACAAAATTATGTAATTTCTTTGGTTGGTATATAGATGATGGCGTGTCAATAAAAAAATAAAAAACATTTAAAAAACTCAAAGCAACAAACATAATAGACCATTCCACTCTATGACCAAACCTCTTCCACTTTAGGTTTAAGTCGAGCACCTTGCGGCCTCCGTTCTATAATGGAGTAAGTTGCGGAGGGGTAAAAACTGCCAGGACCTTCTTCTCCTCCTGAAGACCCAGAGCAAGGGCACGCTCTCCCCAGCCCCATAGATCAGCCAGGCCTGGATGTCAGAGGAGAGCCAGGAGTGCCCCTTTCTCCTCCCTCCCTCACTTCTCTCTGGCCCACGATCTGCTGTCTGGTGACACTGCGGCGCTAATGACCCGGTTGGGGAGTTGCTCCATGGGGCTTCTTGGCTTGGGAAACATGGAAGTTGTGGATATCCAGCTGGAAGGTCATCGTTTTAGGAGAAGAGACCACTCACTCACTTAAACTCTTTAGAGGAAGGATAAGTCCTTCAAGTGTTTATTTTTTCGATCGAGGGAACGTTTTCATTTTTTTGCGGCGTGGAATACAAGAAATTGTGGATGAAACAATTTGAACAATCACCTCAGGACAGCAATTAGTATAGAGTAACACTACAACGACATCAAGTACTACATACAGCCTATACACGTATCCGTATTTTGAGTTGCTTACCCAAGACGATTTTGCTTGCTACCATGGAGATATTGTTCCAAGCTACAATCACAGTATAAACTTAATTTTATCCATATGTTCCAAATGTATAATTACTATGCAGGTGACACAGAAGTATTGCTTAAAGACAGTTCTGATAGTTATATACCAACAATCTTTTAATCAGCCGGCAATTGTAATGTACCCTTGTGTATTAGTGTTTCCTCAATCAAACGGTGGCAGATGTGACTATTTACTCCCAGAGAAATACACAATCATTTGAAGTTTGTTGGTGGATGATGTTTTCACGATGGACGCATGTTTAAACAGACCTCATACATATGATCCTTCCAGTTCCAGTGTGTAATTGCTCGACAAATTGGATAAGAGTGAATTTGGAACGCGACCCTTGTGCTTCGCCTGCCAAACTCGGAGCACTTCTGATTGTTAACTGTGGGTTGCTTCTCTTATTTTTCTAATCAGTTTGCAGTGAGAGCATGGCTTCCTTCCCTCTCAAACAGGCCAATGTTTTTGCTTTTTTCCATTTTCACCGGTTTTAGCCCTTAGGAGTTTGGTTTGTCGGAGTGATATCCGCCTCCAGGGAGTCCTCTTCTCCTGTCGGGGCCACCGACTCGACCTCACTCATGGTCTGAGTGTGGGTGGCATCCGACCGTGGAGAATTACTTTGCAAGATGTTGGAAGATGATGGTGATGCTACGGGTGCGCTCTCTGTGGATCCCGCCTTATTCTCAGGGTCAAACATTCGAGCAATCTGTGTAATTATAAGCAAAAAAAGAGAGTTGTTGTTTTTTTTCTTTCCGTCTTTCACAAAATGAACGCTCCTCATGGGAAAGGTTCACATCTCAAAGCATCTAGTATTGGGAATGGTTTTAATGAGACAAGTCAAGAGAGTTCGTTGGTGTGTTCCTACCCCTTTTGTAAGTAGCGTAATTGTCCGAGCGCTTGTGAGACATTTTTTAACCACAGTTTGTGAGAAAAACTAAATAGCCTTCAGTGATTATTTTTTCGACGAGAGGGAAGATGCGCTGGCTCATTGGGAATAAAAAGTTTTGCTGAAGAAGTTGGAAGTTGTTATTTTGGTTGATATGGACCCATGCAGGGGTTAGAGGGCAGAGATAGTACCCCAGGGCAGTGGCAGGCTGTCGGGGGGGAGCTTTGGCCGCAGAGAGGGGCAGAGTGGAGGCTCAGATTCACAAGCACGTTCTCTTGGCGTGGAGTCGAGCAGGTCTAAGTAAAAGCAACAGGGGGTGAACCGAATCATTGCCACTGCTCAGTTGAGCTCCGGAGGCGAGGGGTGAAGACGGTTAGGTGATCTGAAAAGTCGCTGTGGATTTCTGTTGTCGGAAGAGTTTGGTGGTCCACTGGTCTTTTGTCTTGTGCCACTTTGCTTTCAATTGTTTCATAAATAGTAGAAAGTTTCATTTCTCATTCTCATTCCCTTTATTGTTAATTTCTGAGTCAGGGGGCCATCGGAGCTGCCACCAGCCCCTCACTGATCCTCCTTCATGAAGCCCTGGTCTTTCAGACAACTTAAGTGTCTTGCCCAGGGACACAACAACAGCACACATCAACAGACAAATGCTCTACCAACTGTTACCCCAATTTCATGATAAAAATAGAATTTAATATTGTAATCATATTATATGCAATTGGTTTCCCTTCCGCACAAACAATAATAGTGAATGGAAGCCCAGACACTGCTTTGATATAAAAAAAGAAGGTTTAATGTATGTAAACAGAATAACATACAAATTATAGACTTAACATAGCCTAGGTCCCTGACAAGATGGAATAGCAGAATGACCCAGAGTCACAAGACACACACTAACGCACATGCATTCATAAGTACTCATATGCGGTCTCATGGTTAGGGTGCTGTTCTCACATGAGGGTCCTATTGTCCTCCCAGATGTCATGTCAATCTCATGACTGAGAGAAGTTTCAGCAGTCTCAGAAATTGGGCTGAAATGTCCCACCACAATTTTATACATATGAAGACTCATAAATATAGCTTTATAATAATAATAGCAGACACTACGCTTGCCTCATGTTGAATTAAACAAGACACAAAGGACAACATGTGCATTTGAAACATGTTGAAATATGGAAATATGGCTTTTGATCCTACTTTCATTAGTATAATATTCAGCACTGACAGGCAGCTATCAAAATGTACTTAATGATATAATGTAGATTAACACAACAACTGTGTATTGTTATATTTGTTTTTATAATAGAAGTATGCGTGTGAGAATTGTCTTGACTTTTGAGATTTGCTTGACTTGAGACAATACATTTGTTTCTATTTGACCACAAATTTTGAAACAAAAAATGTTTGTTCATCAAACATATATTTTTTTTTATAAATGTCAAGGAGGAGGACCAATTCTCCATTCGTTATTTTCTGTTTTCATTGATCAATTGCTCCAGTCTTATAACTTTTACACATGATCACGTTCACAACAGCAAAACTTATCACAATTCTTTTTTCTAAAGGTTAGATTATTTATTACTTCCTTTGTACGTGTTTGCTTCCTAAACCCTATATTTGATTTTCTTCTCTCAAAGTTACAAAGCAAACCTTCTGGGAGCAGCCATGTCAGACTTTTTGGGCGCGTCGTGAGCAACATTAGCCACCCGAGGCCTCCTGCATTTGAAGAAACATAACAACAACAACCTCTGCCGCGCTGGTGTATACTGTAAGTTGGATTGCGAACTTACTTTGTCACTAATGAAAGTAGCAAAGTGCCCGCAAGGACCGAGAACTACTGTTTGTTTGGTGTTTTTGAGAGCGTTCACGAGGTGCAAGGTGGCAAAACTTTGGGAGATCTTTCTGACAGCGCGTCGAGACCCACGTTGAGGGGGGTGGGTTGTTAAGATTGAAGTTGTTAAGACACCCGGGGACCTCCTGACAGAATTCCAAATAGGCGTTTCATATGAGCGTGTTTACCGACCGCAGTGAAGTTGGTGAGGGCTTTTGAATTGAACCAAAGCACGTCACGTCAATCTGTGTCACACTTTGCTTTATTGATCTCTGGCACATTGTATTTGATGGCAGCACGTGGGAGGTGGGAATTATATGAAAAAAACTAAACTCTCAATTGAGTCAAAAATGTATGAAAGGTGGCTCATTATATAGGTCGCTTAACTCTGAACTGAGCTGAGAATGCATTGAAGAGGTTGAGATTTTTTTTTTTAATGTTGAATTTAAAAGGTACTGTACAAATCTACATAATTAGAAGTAAAAAGATGACATGCGGCAGGGGAGGGTATGTTTTTGGTGTGTGTATGCAATGCTAAGTCATTATGTATCTGACAATCTGGTCTTAGAAAAAGGATTGTCGTAAGTAATTAGTGATTAGTGTTAGTTATTTTTCTAGCAATCAAAGGCATTTCTTTTCAAGTTACGAGTCTCCAACCAACTTATTTTCATGAAAATTTAAAGCCTGGAATACATTTTGAAATTTTGCTTTATAAGATGAATTGAAACTTTAGGGTACATAGCATGGTCGCCGAGGGGATAGCACTCTCGCTTCTCAGCAGGATGGTCCTTGGTTCGAATCCAGGTTGGAACAGGGCCTTTCTGAGTGGAGTTTGCATGTTCTCCCCGTGTCTGCGTATCACTAAATGTGTACTAAAGGTCTAGCATGCGCCTCCTGTACTGGCAACCCCACTCCCTGTTTGGAGTGGGAGACAAATGCCCACAATTATAAATCGCTTTGTGACTCTGGTCTGTGAAAGGCGCTATATAAATAAAGATTACTTAAATGGTGAATAGATTGCTATGGCCTACGCAGGTGGACAAACGCAAGACCAAATATCTGGCCCTCACAGTCACAAGGTCCCATTGTGTATCCATGTTCAGACTTTGTTCTGTCTGAAAAAACTGAAACAACTGAAACCTGGAGGAAACTGAATAAACTTCCAGGAGCTCTGGTGCGCCATGATCCCGTCTCTGTGTGGTTAATCTACGACACTTTCTTACTTACATAGTGCACTCTGAATTTTATTGTGCTTTGTCCACCGAAATGTAGAGCTCTTGAAAGAAGAGAATTAGGAATGAGAAAATATATCAGTTGCACATTATTAAAGGTTTTGGGAGAGAAGAAGCTTTCTTCAAGCTGGAGTATCTGATTTTCAAACATGGCCTGCATGCATATTTTTCACGAGTATTACTTTAGACCAGCTTTTTGGAAAGAAATGTAGGCACAATCATTCTTCATGGCTGTTCCTTAGATGTTTTAATATTTTACAATATGATGGAGACAATGTGAAAAAAAATACATTTTTGTGTCTTAGTTTACTATACTTTCAATATACTTTATAGAGGCAAAAACAGTATGCACTCAATTCTGAGGACAAAAAATGGGTTTAACAATTCTGACTTAGCAGGTGATACTAACATATAATGTTGTTGTGGAAAAAAAGTAATATAGCACAAACTACAATAAGGTATGGAAAAAATATTCACAAAAATGTTGAATATATGGATTAGCTAATGGTTAAATATAAATATATGGATGGATTATTTGGAAATATGAGAATAAAACATCAAGAAGCATTTTGGTTGTATAGTTTAAACGCACAATGCGGATTCTGATCACTCGGGCTGATCTGACCTGCACATCTCTGGGTTCTGGTAGCATACAGATCCGAGACCGATGAAAGGTGGTGCCCAACGCTTTTCTCAGGGATATAATGTAGTTTTGGCTTGTCCCTGACAGTGGCTTCACTGCACCACGCGGCGATGGAGGAGGTGAGGATGTGCTGCAGTTCTACATGGTCGTGATGACCATGTAGAACTTCACCAATATCAGAATCAGAATCATTTTTATTGCCACGTAAGTAACAGGAAGTCACAGACTTGGAAATTACTTTGGCTCAGTGCAACAGTCAGAAAGAGATAATAAAAAATAAAGAATAAAAAACACTTCTAAGGAATACATTTAAATTTAAAATAGAGTTACAGTTACTATTTACAATATACAAGTGCACATGGTATATCTGCAGGCAGCTTACTGTAGCTTTCAGCTTTCTTAGCTTTAACCCTAACCCAGTTGCAGAACTTTGAACGCGCAACTTGCTTTGTGCAAATATCAAAGATGGCGGCTGTCGCATGTAGTGATTATTTTTAATACAATATATCAACTTCTTGTGAGAATATCTCCCCCCCCCCTTATTTTAAAGCAGCATTTCTGCTGCAATTGAATGTTTTCATTCGATGGCTCTTTATTAATTGGGCAGCGAGGCAGATCCATATGCTCCCACCATATTTGTAAATAATTATCGTGAAATGGCTGGTTCGGCTAGTTTTGTCCGGTGCACCAGGACGGGAGCCAGTCCACCTCATTCCTGTGCGTGTGAAGGATGAATAAGTAAAATGCAGGTATGTTATATACCCTAGGTATTATGTAAGGCAAACATAGATTTTTGGTTATCTAATCTGTAATGTACTTTTGTGGCGGTACAAAATAAATATAAATAAAATAGAATACATGTAAATAAGAACTCTTCTCCATGGACTGCTCCTTTTCCGTGTTGAGTGAGTTTGTAAACTCGGATCCTTGGAGCTATGTTGACCGGGGCTTTATGCTAGTCAGATGGAGCGCAGTCCAAAGCCTACTACAAAGAGTTTGATATGAAGGACCAAAACTTCACCCTTGAGCCTGGTTTGGGGTTGGGGCTCTAGTGCGAGCGCTTGGCGGCCAAGCCTTTGCCCACAGGGCCTGACCAGGCTCAGCCCAAAAGGCTGACATGAGCAGGGTCTCTCGTGCTGGTCCCGGCCGCAATCCCTGAACCCGGTGGTGGACCCTGGTTAAGAGATGCCATCAGGCTGAAGGAGTTCTTTTGAGCCAAGATAGATCATTGCACTCCTGAGGCAGCTGTCCAGTACCAGCCGGTCAAGCCTGCCACTGACCGGGCTGTTGCAGAGGCACAAACCTGGGAAAGGGAGGAGTTTAGAGAGTCCATGGAGCAGGACTATCAGTCCGTCTCAAAGACATTTTGGCAAACTGTCCAGGAACCTTAGGGGTGCTTCTCCGACACTGTTTACAGAGCAGTGGAGAGTTGCTGACCTCGACTGGCGATATCATTGGGTGGGGTCTTCCTTGCCTTCTCCAGGTGGGTGGAGAGGTTCTTCCTCAACTGGCGGGGAATCTCTGGGTCTTGTTCAAGCGTGTGGGAATGATGGAGCATGAGATTGACGGAAAGAACGGTGCAACGCGTACAGTGATGCAGTCGCTGTATCGGACCGTTGGGGTGAAAAGGGGACACACTCTTCCTCCTTCCACACACGAGCTATATCCATTTCCCCCGTGTTTTGTAAAACTGAAAGTAGAAGCAGCCTTTTCTCACAAAGCTCTGTGTTAAAATGTATTCCAATGTGGAACTGACTTAAATTAAGAGTGAATATAATAAACAAACATATATTTATTTCTCATGTCCTGTCATTTCTATTCTATCAATTCTACCATAATAAACAAATATGCAAATAAAAATAAGAAAGATGACAAGATGAACCTTTATGTCTCCCACAGATGAAGGTGCGTGTATAGTGGTGTTTAAATGGGAGCATGGCCTGGATGGCATGTTGTACTTCTTACTTACTACTTAAGGGAGTGAATCATACATTAATAATACAAATAAAAAGAAACACTCATAACCAGAGAGAATTTTTGTATGTGATGATTGGAGCAAAAACATAAACACATAATATATATTCCTTGTTGCAGTATAGAGCAGGAATAACAACTAATTATTTTTATATTTCAGTTGATTGTCTATGAGAACATATTTTGTATGTATTTTTTATTTGTTTAGTTTTTTTTTCCAGATCATTTTTATTAAATTCCACTGAAAATCACTAAATGAACATAGCATCTGCAGTAATGTATTTATTGTCAGTCTATCTTTATATTGTGAAGACTACAATAGTCATCATATTCACGATTTCATTGGAAAACTTGGCACTGATTGTGTTGTTAACAATCCTGCTTTGTTGAAACAGTTGACAGATGCTGGAGCAGGTCATGTGGTAGCACTATAATGAAGACGACTTAATTAGAGAAAACACATGCACAGTAAGAATGCATCGTAGTCTATAATTGTTAATAATGAGAAGGTTTGACGAGATAATTTTCAAAACAAAAATAGAAAAAAGGCAGGTTGACATTTGTCTTTTATGATGTGTATCTGCTCCATGTTAGGCTACTGTTTCTATCGTCGCCTTTTAATTTCAATAGCCAATACACTTCTGACTAAATGATGTCAGACGACTAAAGCAGTGAAATCAACATGTTAAGACGAATAGCCTCAATTCATGTCCGCGTCGTCCTCTTTTGTAGTGGACTTCTCTCCTCTCGCGAACTCCCGGTCCTCTGCCCTGGCTATGGCTCTCTGCTGAAGCCTTTCCACCAGAAGGGGGACCAGTCCGTCTGCCGTAGACCTCTGTGTCCGCGTGTGAGTGCGAGGCGGAGGGGACGACTGGAGTCCGGATCCGGCGCGAGCAGCCGATCCAGCGCTCCGCATCTTGGCGCGCTCCCTCGGATTTTAATCATGCCTCTCTGTCTGTGTGTGAGTGCAGGCAGGCTGACAATGATTTCCTCAGTGATTACGTACAGAGCGAGTCCCTGCGGGGTAGGGGCCCCCTCTGGAGCCATCCTGATGGCTTTGGGGGCCTTGCTTCCATTTTCCATTATTATGTGGACTACCGGAGCGACAGCGCAGTCCAAGACCTTGCAGGTTTGTGATGAGGAGGGAGCTTCCATCTTCTCTCTGTTCTTCATCCTCTTTTTAAGAGCTATTTAGACGTAGACTTAGAGCACATTCCGAACCTAATTCATGATTAGCTGAGTGCAGCGGGGAAAGCGCTTGAGTCCGGGAGAGTTTTGATGCTGTTAGCTGGATTTGAAATCAAAGTGTTGATGCTCGTTTTTACCTGCTTTTTTGGCTGTTTTGTTGCATTTTTTTCGTGCTCTCACAGGAGGCGGTTGCTGATGTCTTTCTCACGCGGATGCATTTCAGATGTTCGATGCGAAATGCTAGAAGTCGTAGTAGAAGTGTAACGCTTTTATCCATCCACGATGCCCGCACGCGCGCGTGTTTTCCCGGAGAATGGATGCGCGTGACGGACCGCAGTTCTCGCACTTTTGCCGACACATAGCTGCTCCACAACTAAACACAGTCGCCTACAGCCGGGCGAAGGCTAATTGGATCTTACCCGTCCATCCACCGCTGCTAAGTAACACCGTGCCAGTAGCGCGGGGCTTGCTTGTGTATGTTTAGTGGAATGCTCCGAACGGCGGAGGTTTTACGCACGTAACGAGCTTTCACGCCAGATCCAAATCAGACAGATACTGAGCAACTTCGGCGTTCTTTTTTCTATAGGATGTCGCGCCGCAAGCAAGCGAAACCAAGATCACTGAAAGGTAAGTGGATCGGCAGTGCCAACATTTGATTTAGCAGAATCTTAGACTCGTGAACTTGAAATGATGTTTATTTTTTGACGGAGTCTGCTTGTGTTTAGCTTGTAACATGTTACAGTTTTGCCGTACTTAGACCCGTAGTGCTTCGCTATACTGAGTGAGGAGAGCAACAGTGTTGTTATAGACTGTGTGTTACGCAGCAGCTGGCTACAGCGCATCAACATCTGGATGTGCTCAGTAAAAAGACGCTCCTTTCTCGCCTCAGTCCGGAACTTGAGCCCGTCTGATGGAATGGGGTGCATACAGTCACGTGACCTCCGCCCCCCTCCTTTCCCCCTCTCGTGTCTGTCTGAGAGAAACTAAGGAAACAGTTTATGGAGGGAGGGAGGACCGTGGCGCGCTGACAGGTGTTAATATACCGCAGGCTAATTGGAAAAGTTGGTAATGAACTTAAAATTGATTCGTGTTTATTTATGTTTGTGACATGTGTCTGATGTTTGGTCAGTGTTTCACAACGTGTTATTAGACCCTGGGGCCAATAGCATGGAGTTCCTAATATCTGGAGTAGATGAGTGGTTTATGTCTGCATCTATTTTCAATGTTTGTTGCAAGTGTTACCAAAATATATTGGCTATTTTAATCTTGCTATTCTATCCTGAAAGTAGAAACTTGTGGGTGACTTGTGAAGCACTTAGAAATAACCAGGGCAACTAACATCCCTGCCACCACTGTACTTTTCTCTGTGTTGGGGGGCTACAGTTCATCTGGCAGCCATTGTATTTTTGCCCAGCGAATAATCGGCCACAATTTCACATTCCCAGCTTGCGGTCTGTGGACCCCTCTGCCGCCTCTGTGTCTCCTCCTTTGCTCCCCCTTTTTCTCGGAAGTCTTCATCTCAAAAGGAAGATTACATGGTCTGTGTGTGACTATATTCTTGCAGCCACCATTTTAAATCAATACTGGCGAGAGGGGAGGAAAATGAGCGTGCATCACTAAAATTCAGTTACCAGATCCAATTGCGTATAAACACCGTCTATGGCTTTTTTTTCCTATGTGACAATTCGACTTCTCACCAATGCACTGCTTCAACATCTTTGTGCATTCTACAAGTGTGCGTGAGAACATCTGTTAGGATTTTTATCTGTGAAAAATGAGGTTTGGTGTGAATTACTATGCAAATCTAAAGCTATAACAGGATTGATAGCTTTGTTTGTTTTGTCATTGTACTTAAAATTCCAAATTCGAAAGGAAAAGTTGTGGAAAGCCTACATAGCTTTAACATCTTCATTTTAGGGAGTGTTGAAATAAGAGAGAGTTCCTTTTACTTTAGGAAAGCCTGCAGATGTTTTTTATTATTCTTTGTCAATGTCCACCGGGATTGAACTGCACTTACAGATGTCCAGATTTACTGTACTTTGTGAAGAACGCTTTACTCCACTCAGTTTGCTATGTTTGATTTTGCTTGTATCCAGTTTTGGAAAAGACATTTTTAGTCTATGCTGACTCGTAGCGGTGGTCACTGACGTTTTCTTTGCCAAAAAGTACATTTTGTTCCAGGAAGACAAGCTAGAAGAAGGTAGTAGAGAGGACGGCATGATATGTGAAAGTTGAGTTTTAAATGTTGCTGAATTACGTAATTGATGCTATTTCTAAACGTTTTGTTCATTTCTAAAGATCAAAATTGATCCACTCAAACTTAACAGATAACCATGACCAATCTTTAAAAAAACACTATTTTGATGTCTTGAATTGCCTATCATCTTACTCATTTGTTTCAACATTCAACTGAATCGCAAGATCTGAAAAGTTTACAAATCTATGGCAGCAACAATACTGTAGAGAATCAAAGACATGATGTAATTCCATCTAAAGATATCTCCTTCTTTCACTAACACTATTCCACTTTCCGTGTCCATTTTATTGCCAAATGTTTATTACTTATCCATCCAGAAGCCGTCTACATTATGAAGAAGACAATATAATTTGCAAGACAGTTGGCACTCCTCTTTCTCCCCTCCCTCGGCGACAGCCCACCCTCTTCTCCCTCACTATTGGCTGACGTGTGGGAGTCAGAGGTTATGTTTTTGGTCCCATGGAGAAAAAGGGCAACATTACAAGTCCCGTTTCAATTAAGTCTGAGAGACAGATCCGGCGATGTTATTGCTTGGGGGAATAAATGGCGCAGGACGAGCCCCATACATCATTGGCGTATATGCAAACACTTGAGCCGCGCGCCTGACATTTACTCAATCCTCTGGCCCACTGTGCTTCTCAACTGTATGGGCACATTATGATTTAGTTTAGTTGCGCTGCGCTTTTGGGGTCAGTGCTATCGTCACGTTGTCTGATTATTCAAAATCTTAATCTAGCTGATTGAATTGGCGGAATGAGCGACCACAATAGGCTTCTATTTAAAAGGCCTTTGTAAACACTCCAAAATACTTCATCTGTCTTTAAAGGTACCTGCCCTTTAACCTGCCCATATCACACTTCCCAAAGTCAAAATCAAGTTCTCTGCCGGTTGAAGTGATGGGCAGCATGGGCTCGGTGTTTAAAATGATGGACCAATCTAAGTTTAGCAATCTGTATTTCAATTCTGATATTATTATTCTCATGGATGCGTTTGAAGTATTCTCTCATCGGCATTTAGAGTTGAAAATGTGAATTTCAAACCAAATACAATTTTAATTGCGCTACATCCTGCTCAAATTTGTCATTGTTCACATTTGCTTTGAAGGAAGTCTGTGGCGCTCAGCAAATACTAACATAGATCAAAACATAGGTTTTACAGGTCATTTACCCAGTCCATGGCAGGCCACTCCTTTGAATATTTGATGAAGTTCAAGTGGGTTGAATTTCCATCCACATGAGTCAGTTTTTATTTTAAGTTCATAGCACAAAAAACACGCACATATTTACAGAATGTATTAACAGTCTTTTTTTTGGGTATACATACACATTTTTAGTATTTGGGGAAAGTCTTTAAGAAACCTCAATATTTAAATGTTCTTTCTAAAGTTTAATTTAGGACTGCAAGATTGCAATCAATTGAAATCACACATTTAGTTAAGGGCAAGGTGTGCTTAATTGTCCCCGTAGGGAAAGTTAGTGGTTGCAATTAGCAAATAGCAAAGACAAAAGCTAAAGAGAAAGGTAAAAGCAATTATTCAAATCCTTTGCACAAAAAACAGCCAAAAAAAGGACAACAAAAATAAAAGTTATAGCTTGTTTTTCAAATTCACCCTCTCCGTACTGCTAACTTTGGTCAGGGAAATTCAATGTATTACCAAATTGTTGCAGCCGTATTGAAAGCTGATCAGATATTGTTTTTATTCAAAGGTCATGGCCCATATGAATTGTAATGGCAATGTAAAACCACACACACAAGCACACACACACAACACACACACACACACTGACACACGCTTGCTTCAAAATCCAACTCACATATAATTTTGTTCATTTAATCAAATATTATCTCCTCGTTATTGGAACAAATGATTTTCACCCCTCCACTCTTGCTCACATTAGCAGTTGCCTGGTTTGGGAGCAGGCTGCTGTAGTCAAGTCTGTTCAGTGATTTAATGGACCGTGGAATAACACCCATTAACACTTTTGTAATTTGACATCAAAATATGGTTAGTTTTATTGTTGAGGGAGTGATGCCTGTGCTGTGCAGATGGTGTCACTGCTTTTAACATGACAAATTGACCTATTGCGTATCTGGCAATGTGATATTTTCCCTTTGGATAAAACAATGATTAATTCAAATAATACCTGCAAATATATAAAAGTTATTGAAATCCCTAAAAGTACATGAAAACCAAATTATTATGAGTGGTGGAGTTTTGATTTGAGAAAAAAGAAAAACCTACATTTTGAAAGTAACTCAATATATTGAAAAAATAATGACTAAAATAAGTATGTTAGCATTTCATTCACAGTCAATTCTACAATACGAAACTATTCTGGACAGTTTGTTTAAAAAGAAAACTGAAATCCCATACGCGCAATGCATCATTATAATATATGGCTTGATCTATGCCATATCTGTATTTTATATTATGGCCATGAATTAATGTATTGTTTTATTTTACCGCGACCCCAGGTGAAAGCTAATGGGGATCCCCAATAAACCATAAACAATATTTAACCCCACCAACACACACAGAGGGAACATCTGAGAACAAAATGGAAAGTATTAGAATTTCCGAAACACTAAATAAATTCCACATGGGCAGCCTAGACTAAAACATCACGTGAAAAGCTTGATTATTTGCTATAGGAGCGATGAAGTTGTCCAGTCTTCTCCTTGTTATTTTCGTAATTTTCAAGGCTGGAACACACACACACAAACACACACACACGTAGCAATACAAGACAAACCATTTGCTGGGACAGTGATGGATTCAAACATAACTCCTTTTTAATGTCCTGTTTACTTTACTCAATTCATCACCGGGATTACAAATGCGATTAACACGCTCCTCCATTGCAAATTATTTATGACACTAATCACCAGTTCAAATAATGCTCATTAAGGAACTTGTCCTCCATTCCCTCCCTCGCTTTTCCCGCTCCTAATTGAGGAGTTTTGACCTCTTGACCGCCGCTAAATTGAGTTGTAGTCCCTGTGGCGAGCGTCTCCTTCGCCGGTCAGTCAGGGCGGATTACACAGCCATTGTATCGTCCAGAGCCGGCTGTAACCAAGCAGATGAGACACGCATATCTGAGAAACAAGCTCCGGCGCTGTCCTCCGCTCACTCACTCTCTCTCTCTCTCTCTCTCGTTTCATTGTAGATCTGCACAGTCATGTCAAACCAGACTTTCAACGCTTGTCGTCTTGAATGGCACGAGCTCATTCACAGCACACGTGATGTAATGGCTTTGAATGTATCCTCCAGGCATGACGTTTTTTATTACGTCATGTCGGTCTCTACGTTTCTTTTGCGTATGGGTGCCGGAAATTAGGAAAATCGTTTAAGTCCTGTTTTAGAGATTTTTAAGACTTCGCAAAACAGTGGTCCCGCAATCTTTTTTTGTCTCGTGTATAGTGGGTTCAGTGATTTGAAGTCTGCTCACTATTGTATATTACCGTTTAAGGCAAGGCAAGTATAATTTTATAGCACAATTCATACACAAGGCAAGTCAAAGTGCTGTTATTTTATGAAGTTGTTGAGAAATAATATTAAGTATGAGAAATGTATTACAAATAATTTTTATTCTTCAATTTCTATTTTCTATGTTCTTTTTAAAGCTGAAATCTTTCCTTATACCTTCTGACCATGGTTGGGAAACACTGATTTAGATTATTGAAATATTACAGTTAATTATGGATCTTGCAGCAAACAATATTGTTTTTTTCAGAACCAGCTATTGGTTAAAATGTGTTTTAAACTTAAAACTAAAAATTATCATGTTATTTTTTCTACTTTGAATATGCATCATAATGTGTCAACAGTTTTTCCCAAGAAAAAGCCTGACCATTTTCATACATATGCAATGGATTTTTGGCCTTAATCACTGTAAAATATTGTAATTTTGTACGCTTATAATTCCGATACCTTTATTCGTCCCACAGTGGGGAAATTCCAGGGTTGCAATGCACAGTACGAGAGAACAGTAGAAACAAAAGTAGCACTCGAAACAAGATTAATAGCAGTAAATCTTTGGAGAATAAGCCGTAAGCTAAAAACAATCATTTTAAAGTGTCAAATTAACTCAACGACGCACGTACAAAAACATTTAGGAAAACAACTGTCGATTTTTCTGCAGGTTTTTTTCCCAGATTGAATTGTTTGTAAATGTCCCCCTCCCTGATCACCGAATGAGAATTGTGTGCCACAGCTTGACAGGCAGTTCATTTTGTGTTTGGCCAATGCTTGCGTTAATTAGTGGCCTTTACCGCTGCTGTTTTAAAATCAGACGGAGCCCTTCTGAAACGGTCCCGCGAGTGCTCTGGATTGTATCAACAAAAGAGAGCTGCATGATTACAGTTTGTCATTGGCCAAATGATACCTGTACATGTCAAACATTAATTAACTGATAGTGAACGTATTAGGAACAAGGCCAATCGGATTTCACAAGGAAGTAGCGTGCTGCTTACAAGCTGATTGAAGATGTACGTTTTACATAAAGTGCATACACCACATTAAATTAGGACTAAAGTCGGACAAGGCCTTGAACATTGCTATGGTATTGCTATGAGGAATTGATGCATTGTCAATTAATGCACACATTAAGAGAATCCAAATTAAGATAAATTACTGCAAAACTGTTAAAATCTTGAGCACATTTTGAAATTAATTTTCAAACAAAAAAAATCTACCAATACAATATGATCAAACTAGGGCCAACCTGTTGTCTATAGCATTTTGTACTATCTTCCCTGTGCAATGAAACACAAACATCTCCTTCATATAAACTCATTGTCCGCCTGATCGATTAAAGGAGAATCTGTCATACTCATCCACAAAAAGGAGCTATCTTGGGTAATAAGGTTGAAAATCCCTGCTCTAGACTTTGATAGACTTAATTATGCAATTGTATGTAAAATGTTTTCCCACAACAGGATAAAATATAGTTTTTCAATTAAGCTACAATTAGCATCATTACTGTGATTTGTGATCTGTGATTATGATAGCCACAATTTCATGTGCAACCACACATAAAAAAAAGAATATTGTTAATTGTCAATAGTTGTGAGCCTATTTGAACCTGAGCACCAGTAGCCCCCACCTCTCGGCCCCATATGTCTTGACATGACATCCATAATTACCCACCTGTCAGATGCAAGCGGACGTGGCTAACTCCAGATGACAAAACTTTTAAATATGTTCATTGTGGCGACAAATCATGCCCAAGTTGCTGTAATGTTCTGACTTCTTATGGTATTGTGAACTAGATTTTCTGCCTGAACTGCCTCATCTTGCCAACAGGGAGGGTAATCAAAACAAAACTCCACACACCAATCTCGGATAGAACGGTGGGGGATTTATTAGGACCCCCTATCTCGGGCCCATTTAAATGATCCCGATGTGCAGAGCTGGAGAAACTCATTACGCTCTCAGGGCCGTCTTGATTTCTGACTTGGAAGGGAACAGTCGAGTTTGTGGCTCCCAGGGATTGAGTCTCCACTGTGTCCAACTGCGGCTACTCCATCACTTTTAATGGATTTCACTAATTAATTGCCAGAACCATGAGCTTTTGTTTAGCCCAGTTACTCAAAAGAATGTATAGACAGGGCTTTAAATACAAAGTGGTTTGGGTAAACTTCAAAACACATATAGTATTTACACTGTATAGTTTTTTTTCTGTAAATGGCATTAAGTTGTGTTAACTATTAGAGGTTGCAAGATTATTACCGTAAACAATACTCAGTTTGACTATAATTCTGTAAATGACCTTTCACACCTCATGTGACAAGAATCATATTAGCATAGAAAAAAAGAAGAAAATTAATATACCAGAAAAGAAACTTGTTCAACTATATTTTTAGAAAATCATATCCTGCATTATTCTTTGAGTGTCTGTGTTCTTGTTCTTTTCTATACTCATTGCACATTTGTCCATTAGTATACATCTATATACTAAATATATATAGCAGCTCTTTCCTGTTTTCGTTCATATCAGCAGCCTTTCTTGCATCTTTTCATACTTCATGATATCTATTATTACTATGTCTGAAAGACTCTTTGGGCTACACATATGATTGTAAAGCCAGCGTGTGCAGAGACATCTTGCTTGAACAGTGCCGTAGCTGGACAAGACCCGGCACAGTGGTGTTTTGCCGTCTTCAGAAGAAACAGCTCAACACTTTCCCTCTTCATTTTTCACTGAGTCTTGACACCCTGCTTGACACCGACTTCTGCTCCCCTGAGGAAAAGGCTTCTGCCACCATAGGATCTCGCCTTAATTATGCAAAGTACTGGATATTTTGTGCGATTTTAAAAGTGCGCCAGTTTCTTCTTTGGCAGTCGCCTCTACACTCCCCTACTGGGAGGTCCTGTCAGATATACCCCCCCTTTGCTTCCTTCGCCTCAAAAATGAAAGGCTAGAAAGAAAAGACATAATGGAGAATGCATTTCAACGGCAGGGGTGGAACGCAGACGTGTAAGCAGTCCTCCGCAAGTCCCTGATTTTGCATAGAACAGGTGGGAGATGCTTTTTGTTCTCCTCCTGCTGCTCAAACCCATTTCATTTTGGGGAGTTTGACACGGCACAAGGAAACTCTCCCCGGTTGCAGCAACAATGTAAAAAGGTTCTTGTCTTCTTTCTTTTTTTCTTCTCCTAAACAGGGGTGATGTTTTGTTCAAGGCCAAAAAACGCTTGTCAAAAAAGTCACTTGCGCTTATAATGAGCGGACCCCGGCGCTGATCAAGCCATCACTGTTTTGTCATCTGCCATGTTAAAGACCAGACAAGCACTTTGCAGCTGCTAAAGTTGTCAGGACATTTCACACACAGTGGGATTTGAACGAGACGTACACGTGGTCCGGAATGTACAAATCTGTCTTTTGATATCATTTTGCAAGTCAAGGCACAGAGTTGGCTACTCGCTAATGCAGTCATCAAGGTGTTTTTCAATTTGGTCGCTGGTGTTTTAGAGTTCAGAGAAAGGGTCCATAATTCATAATCTGATATGTTATTTACGTAGGTGTTTGCTGCAATGCCAAAAGTCATCCTTATGAAAGACTAGCGCATATTCCCAGGCCGCGCGATGAGCTGTCAAAAGCTGTTGGAGTTGCTTGGAGTTTCCATACGCACAAATCTCAGTAGTAAATAATGAAACAGGAGCAATGGTCAGTGTGTACAACTTGTTAACTATTTCTTTCCCTTTCTCTGTCCCTCTTCCCTTTCTGCTCGCTCTCCCTTTCTGGCAGTAGAAGACAATGTGACGGAGGAGCTTCACAGTCCCGGGCAGACTGCCATTCCAAGCGGTAATGCTCCGTTTCATATTTCATCATTTTTGGGGCTGGAAAAGTTGTATGTTGGCAACAAAAAATAAAAAATCTGTTTTGGAGGAACAGTGTGACATTGCATGCTGCATATGCAGAAGGCCAGACCTTTCCATTATTGCTGATCTTTCAACTGTGCATTCATATAAAGTAATAATATTGTACTTAAAGGTGAGGCACCACTTTTTTGCTAAATAATAATACATTGTGTTTGTCCCAACAGAAGAAGTCTTTTAAAAGTAAAAAGTTGTTCACCAGTTGTTTCATCTTAATTAGACACCGTTTTAGCTTCATTAGAAAGAGCTGATCTAAAGACGTGACAGAGGCCAAAAATACATGCAGCAATAGAACCAATGATTTTGTGGATTTCATTGTTATTATTATTATTTAAAACAAATGGACATTACAAATATAGTGTAGCATGTTAAAAAAAGTGAGCTTAATGCACATAATGCAGTGGTGTTTATTGTGTTATTGCTTCTTTGATATTTGGATACCAAAGGTCTCATGTTGGCTGTTATTTCGACAAAGCAAGCTTGATAGTACTTTGGGATAGTGTGGTCAGGTTACAAAACCCAACCCACATCCAGGCAGAAATAGCTTGGCGAGAAAACTTAAGGTCTATGAACTAAGACAAGAAGAGCGTGGAGAAGATGGGTTACTCTGTTGTGTGTGCATGCAAAAATACTTTGTTTGTAAATTTATGCATGACCAGCCCTCTTTGTATCTCAACCTTTGCTACTGTGTAATGTAGGATAGCATGCCGCAGATGAATGTGCCCTGTCCTCACGCATGCCATTCACGGCGCCCCCTCAGGAACAGCGTGGTAATTCAGGTCAGGCCTTGGCAGAGAGCCCCCTATGAATGAAGGCTGCTCCTGATGCACCACACTGTATATTTTCATTTCATTTGTCTCTGCTAAAGGTTAAGTCTCAGGCGTGGTTATTTTAAACCTGATATGGATGGGTTTGCCCAGCAGGCTGGGGACCCTGGGCCCTCAGAAGGCTGCCACATTAGTCCAGCGTTTACCCAGTGCAGTGCAAGTGAGCTAATGCACCACTGCTACAGTTCAGGCTTTTAATGACTGCGCTAGTGTTATCTTTTTATTTATCTATTTCTAATGCTTGAGCGATGTAGACTTCACTGATGTACCACTTTCAGTTGTTGTTTTTGTCCACTGTATGCCCAGTCATATTCCAAAAAGAAGTTCCACAGATACAAAATTGGTCCATGATGTCCTTTTTCTTCTCTCATCCATCCAACTACACACTAAGATCTCAGGGTAAACCAGTGGCAATATGTCACTGATGTAACTTTTACAGTGGAATCCAACTTTAGCTTGACTCTGCATAAAATAAACATTAACTGAAGATTTAAAAATATATTTTCCTTTTGCAGTAAAACCACATTGGAAATCCCATCTAGTTGTTTAGGAGTTTAAGATTATTTTCAAATTTCAGATTTTAGTCAATGAATTGGTCAACCAAATTATTATCATTATTATATAACATAACTATCTTATATTGCACAGATTTCTATGGGAAAACTGCACATTTAAAAGTGTGGAGCAAATTATCGTAAATCGAGATCACACTCTTAATTCACCAGTTTGATTACATATTTGAGTGATTTTATAGTTAACAAGCAATAGTTTATAGCAATAAAGTAATCGTTTTAGAGAAATTCTTTGGCGATTACAGCTCGAGTGCCATGGCTCAATAAAAGTTTTATAAGAAATTAGACATCACAAATCTTTATTATATAAATGAAGCCTATAACACACAGTAGTTTAAGTACTTTCTGATAGGCTGGTGTCTGTCTTTGCCTTCTACAAATTATCAATCCTTATAATGTAGGTTTTGATCATACTGATGAGACAAACCCTTCCAGTCACAACCACCAGAGTTGCACTACTTTGCGCCAACACCGATTAGTGAAAAGTTTGGACTTAGCATAGAGTGTCCAAAGTGTAGACTGTTGTGCTAATGCGTATTGATAGGTGTTAGCGGGTGGTTCACTTGCAGAGAAACAAAAACTAAATGCAAGATCCTTAGCCCCAAAACAAGCCCAGCTCCGGGGACTCGGTCCGAGGAAGAGCTGGGGGTCGGCTTTGGGGGGACCTCCAGAGCACGGCTAATGAGAGTGCTTGATTACAACAACCCCCCTGGACTCACGGAGGCCCTCCCTCTCCCCGAGCCGCTTCCACCTCCAGGGCCAGGGAGCAGGGCCACGATGTGATCGATGTCTGCCTGTGGAGAAATCAGTTGGGCGCACAAATTAATTTCTCACTTTCCTCATTTGACTTCATCCGAGTGATTTATTTTGAAACACTCTCTCTCAAGATGCAACTTTTACTAATCGCCAATGAGGAAAGTTTTCATTCAAGATCCAAACTTTTTGGCCTCAAAAGATCATTGATGTGTCTAAAACTTCCATTTATGATCTTGTCTCTGGCTCTCTGCTGCCCTAAACAAAAACGTTTTGTATTACAATTTTAAATATAATAAGGTAGTAGTAGAAGTGGTAAAGTCAGCCTATTTATGTAAGTAAGTAGTAAGTAATGTTTATTTATATACCGCCTTTCACAGACCAGAGTCACAAAGCGGTTTACAATTGTGGGCATTTGTCTCTCACTCCACACAGAGATGGGAGCGGGGTCGCCAGTACAGGAGGCACATGCCAGACCTATTGTACATGTTTTTAGTGATAGGGTAAACCGGAGTACCCGGAGGAAACCTACGCAGACACGGGGAGAACATGCAAACTCCACTCAGAGTTGGAGAAAGGCCCTGTTCCGACCGGGATTCGAACCCAGGACCTTCTTGCTGAGTGCTAACCACTCAGCCACCGTGCCGCCCATATAGGCGTTGTAAAAATATTATTTGCATTAATCTATGTGCCGTCCATGAAACATAAAAGGTAGCCAAAAGAGCTAAACAATTAACTAATGCATGAATTACTGTGCTGGTCTTGGCTGTTGTTATTTTTTGTTCATTCATTTGATCATTAAGTTAAGCTACATTAGTCATTAGCCCACTGACAAGTCGAGGACTTAATCAGATGCTGTGTGCTGAATAGCCCTGAATTTTTGACCCCCTGTCACGCTCTTACATGATGCCAGAAGTGGCCACTACATCCTGTTTTTCATTCATCTGTGATACACTGCAAAGCCAATGGAAGGAAATCTCACAAAAGAGGCCTTTCAGGGTTACACATTGAAGAGACAAAAACACTGAGATCTGGTTTAATGAGGCGGTATGTAGTCAGCTGTAGCGCCAGTGTAAAATTATACTGCATGTACTTTTCACAAATACATGACGAATTAACCAACCAACAATAAGCCATTGTGGTCATGCTGATTTTGGTTTTTACACAGTTTAAACTAGATTATTTTCCTGTTATGTGAAGTTGGTTTAGACCCTTTTACCTGAAGCAATGCCAACTGCTACTACCCCATGCATTCAACAACGACAATCATATATGTTTAGCTGGATCATATACTGTACACTAATTGCCCAAGCTTGCATAGTCTGTCTTGTCCATCTATCGTGGTCTGGTCCAGGGCTAATGCTGAGGCTACCCGCAGATCAATGCCCTGCTGGGTTTTCTCTGTAGCAGGAAGAGGTCCAAGACTGTTTCCTTCGGCTCACCACTTTGCAAATCCAACTTTCTATTATTCATTTCCTTTGATGCCCTACTGCACTAATAGCATGGCAAGGCACTGTGTTCAATATCACTCATCTAATCTAGAGAGTAGACTGAATAATGAAAAGCTATTGTTTGTGCTCTATGCAAGTGAATAGTGAAATGATTACCAGTGCATTTTGTGCTGTGTATTTATTGATTACATGTTAGATACTTCCTGTTCTTTTACCCCGTATATGCTTTATAATTTTGTAGAAATCTTAACAATACAAACATTGTGAAATTTTAGTAATGTTCAAAAATAGATTTTGATTAAATATAAGATAAGATGAAGTAGATTGATAAATTACAGGTATATGATTTGACAAGTTTAGCACAGCCTGTCACAATACTACCAAATTATGGCATTGTAAGAATGATGCAAAACATATTACCATTGAGTGGTGTGGAGAAGTGGATGAGCTGCAGTGTGCAATGCCCTACGTTTATCAGCGTCATACATTTCATACTCATTCAAGAGGCACACGGTCAAATGACTCGTAGCTCTAATAATTCATTATATTTATTATTATGACACAACTATTGGATTGTATAGTCAAGTTAAGATGCTAAAGTCTAATTGTTGACGGTGAGATTTCAGTCTGTTTTTTGACAAACACCTCAGCTAATCTTCTGTAAGATTCTGCATCACAATATGAAACACTAATTAGTGTTTAATATGAATCAAGGCGACTCGGCGTGCTAAATCAGATTGTGCAGGCAGATTATGTGAACACCGGCTCTCCCCATGCAAATCCCCGCCATCGTTAGCTGCCTGCCAAGTCTCCAGTCATTGGCTCCTCTAATGACGGAGGATCAGTGGCTGTCTAAAGTGGCAAGCCCCTATCTCCCCATTATAATACTTCATGGAGGCACGTGCGCCATTAGAACATAGTATGTGACCTATATATTGGTACCAGCGCTGCACAAAGTTTTTTAGATTTTTAAATAATGAGGTGCCTGGGAAGTGTGTGAAGGTTATTCAATCTTAATGTCCTCCTATTTCTGACAGCCTCCCTGACTCTGATAAAGGAGCAAGCCCACCTTTGATCAAGCCTGCCGACATGTGTCTACTGAAGCTGCTCGCTGGTTAGAATCAATTCTTAATTCGAACCTGGGGGTGGGTGGTTGTGGGTTGGTTTGGAGGTGAGGATAGGGTAGCGGGCATGGTAGGATCAGGATTGCTGGGATATGGGGAGAAAATAAATGTAATAATGATATTTTCTTTGGTGAAGGAAGGTAGAAAAGTGAGAAGCAAGCTATTGTCTGTGGTTTCTTTGCCGCTGTGATTCAGCAAAAAATCCTTGCTGTTTTTATCTGTGTGTTTGACATTTCAATAACCATAACAACAGCTTTCTTTTGGTTGCGTTGTCTGGACCTTATAGTTTTTGCAAAGTCCGTGTTCGAACTATATTTTTAAACTAACATATACATTTCTGTGCGTCTGTAACTATCTCTGTTTTTGGGTATTGATGCGGGTAACAGGCTGGCTCTGGACTCACTAACAAATACCTCACGCCTATTTTTGATTATTTGTAATCAAACTAAAACAATTATTACAACGTTCTCAGCAAATTGTCATCACCCTGTCAATGACCCAAAGACTGTAGTTCTTCAGCTGATGACTCTGTTTATAAAAAAAAATGAAATGACAGTACATACTAAAATTGATCTTTGCATATAGTAAACTGGGTTTCCTTCCAATTTTATATTGTGTATTCATTAGAGGTAGAAGTTGACCCAATGGCTTTTCTTGTGACATGATGTGTAGGTCAATGTTTTGAAGACATATCTCGGCTGATGTATATTCTTGTTCTGAACCACATAACCCCTAAAACTACTAGATTTTGCACTTACATCTTGGGTTCCTGCTTAAATTGTCAGCTTCATGGCCTCAAAATGTCATCATGCAAATTTACCATGCTTTTTGCGACTCCATAATAGAGTACATAATCTAGTACAACCTCATTTTGAAACCCTATCACATTAAAAGTCAGCCTTTGCAAATGAGGCTCTGCTGCTCGCATACCACTTTTCCCTCTGAGTGCTCATGCCGGCGTGGTCAGTGTCTCAGCCTCTCAGTGTGTGGGCCAGGCAGTGCGGGGGGTTAAGGGGTAAGGGGGGGTACGTCAAGGATCCCCTGCCAGCCACCCAAGGGTCCCTAGTGGGGCTAATGGAGTGTAGAAAGAATATCAATTAAAAGGTTATAAATATTTAAGAGCAGACATATTCAATAATATAAGGGTGGGGGGCCAGAGGGATTTTTTCCCCCTCAAGATGAAAGTTGTGTTGGCGATAAATGTCACAGGCTTCCGTTGGAGACGAGAGTCAACGTGATGGATGTTTTGGACTTTAAGACAGAGATATTGCTATTCTCGTCTAGTGTCAATCACTATTCATAGATCTATACTTTCTAATATTAATCCTGTGAGAGGTTGTAGCTGCATAACCATCGGATCTAAAACATTTTTCATTTTGATTGAAGGCAACATGTAATAATAAATCAATATAGTACTTCACACCTTATAAACACTTTAAATGGTGACATAGATTTGTATTCCTTATAAACAACAACATTAAGGTTTAGTTAAAGACATATATGCGTGGGCTTATAGAGGCCAACCTTTCATGAGAAAAGGACAACCACAGTGCAGCCTTGAGGGACCACGATCCAAACAAAGAGAAACGTATTGCACAGAGCTAAAATACTTGTCAGCTGTACTAACACACCATTATTTCTTGATGCTTGACTTAAGAGCCTATACCTATGTAAGTATGTTTCCGTGTGTTGATTTGATTAGTATTTGACCGTTAGTAGTAGTAGTAGTAGTAGTTGACCGTTAAATTCTGCACATTGGTCTTGGGAGTCTTGGCTGACCAGGTCATGTCAGCTGCATGGTATGGATCCTATGACCCAGGTGACAGAAACTATATTTTAGAGGTAACAGAACATAATTGACTATCAGCAGTAAATGTCCGGTGAAGTATAGTACAAGAGTCAATGTTTTAATTTTTCCATTTTCTGCTCGGTCAATGGCGTTTACATGATAGTATAGATCAGCAGTCAATGCCCCCCTGTCTCCATTCCACGGTTGACAACCTCATTAGCAACATTATGGTTGTTTGGTGTGTTGGAAAGAAGAAGAAAGAAAAAAACCTCAATATATTGCCCCAATTTCATATTCCGCATGTGATTGTCAGCTATTGCGAGGGCTTGGGGCTATTGATCTGCTGTCTGGCCTGTGGAGAGCATGCTCGCAGATGTCCTGATCTGATGGATTACTGTATGAGGCCCAGAGGTGCAAGAACCTAAGTTATCGACGTGCTTCTTTAATCCCAGGGTTGGACATGACCTTGCTATGTCGTGCACCCCCCATACTCTGAATGCACGAGCTTTGTGATGCTACCACCAAACGTCAACTGGTGTCACAGAAGCTGCTACCGAACTGCTAGCATAGATTTTTGAAGACTTATAAATTAGTATTATTTATTATTATATTGTATTATATCTTACTATATCTTAGTCATATCTTGTTATGTAATTGACACCCAGAATCATTTCAAATTATCTTGAGGCTTAAGCACAAATTTGAATTACAAGCTGGAAAAACATGTCATTTTTTGTTTAAATACACGTTGGGCACGGATACTACATTTGCTGTTGCCATAACAGTGTTAGATATCTCTGGCCAGGCTCTGTTGTAATATTAGATTTGAATTAATGATTCATAAAGGCCATTGGAAGAAACAGAAAGTAGTCACTTTCTACACAAAATTGCTCACCAAAATCTATGAAGTGCTCACATTTGTGTCCATATTTTGAATCGTATGCCAGTGAGTGGGGATGATTCATAAGTCTATATAGTGTGGCTTTTGGCCCCAGTCTGAAGTGTTTTCCCCTTGAGCGAGGCCGGCCTGCATCTGCGAGGATTGGGTTGGGATTTTCATTTTCTTGAAACACCTTCTGTTCTGTTCTGCATGCTCTCACTAGGGACCATGGGGCTGATATTTTTAGAGGGCATGTTCCGAGAGCCTGAGTCGCCAAGAGGGAAGGACAATGGAGGGTGTGATGTTACATCAATACTTGGCGCAAGTTAGGGAAAGAAAAAAACCCTGGGTGGCCTTGATGAGGTCTACAGCGCCTGTTCCTTAAGGAATTGCATGAACATAACAGCACCCTAAAGAAAGAAACAGAATGGCTGCATATGTTAAGGGATTAGTCATATCCCTACACCAGGCCTATTCTACTTGTGGCCTATGGGCCAAATCATGTTCTCCGAACAATCTAATTTGGCCCTCAGCCAGAAATAGGTATTTTCCCTTGTTTAGGTCCTTGTTTATACCTGGTTGGTTGTGGTCCAGTGGTTTGGAATTTATATTTAATATAAAAAAGCAAAGGTTTTAAATTTGTAAATTGATTAGATATGATATTTGGTATATTTGCTGCGACCCCAATCTGTGACACATTTATTATCTGGCCCAGAGGACATGGCCATCCAAAAAGTTGACCCTTGGCAAAAATAAGTTGAATAGCTGTGAACTCCATTACATGAAGTATGGCCACTACAGCCCTATTGTGTTTTTTTCTCATTTCTTATAGGCATATATATATGTGATTTAGAAATGACTTGTGTGTACAGATTAAGGGTGCCTATTGATCTATCAATAAGCTTTTGGGGCAGTTGACATTGTTGTTTGATTGTGGAAGTTAATAGCCACAGCAGGGAGGAGAAGGCCTCTGGGTCACGCTGCCAACCTGACACTGTTCCGAGCCAAACATCCACTCTGCTATTCTTCTTGGTGAATTTATTCATCTGACAAAAAACATTAGCTTGAATTGTTGCATCACATGTGCAATTACAGATGAGACATGAATTGTGAGGGAGGATTTCTGGTCCTTACTGTGGGTAGTCCGTGGGCCACCGCTGGCACTGCTGCAGCACAAAGCCAACAAGAGACAAAACTGCAGATGGATTGAAGAATATTGATGTGCGCGACCCGCGGCTGCCTGCGAGCAAGGCTGAATAATTTAGGCAAGTGTGGCGTGCGACAGCCTAACACACACCAATCTCAGTTTGGTGTGCCTTTCTCCTCTGGCTCCATACATCCACGCTACTGGCCTACATGTTCTTGGTGATATGGCAAGGCCTGTCTACTTTAATACACAATGTCTGGTGCTATTCAGTTCACAGGCAAGATTTCATATATTTCTGGTCCAGCCAAAAACTGCAGGCTTGGATTTATTAACTGCACGTATTCCCCTCTGTCTAGTCTCATATAGTGAAGTTTTGCCTGGGTGCAACAGGGCAAACATGTGTAAAAGCATTTCTAATAACACTGCGTAGATGTGTGCCACCCCTCAGTCTCTCCCTCGCCCCAGCTGCCCGCTTCGTGCTGTGGCATGAGGGCTTGAGTTACACCGGCCCAAATTGAACCTGCATTTTTATTACAGCTTTTATTATTGTTTTTATTAAATCCAGAGTTGAGAAATCCATTTTATTGTCACCCAGAGGAAGCTGTGATGGCTGGATGTGTGGGTCGCCCCTCTGACTTTGTTCTATTGTCATTTCCTGTGGCTGTGCAGATTCCGAGTGCGCCCCCGAGAGGCTGGAGGAGGATGCTGCGTCTGTGCGTCTGAGGCAGAGACTGCACTCTCCAGAGGAGGCTGAGGAGGGAGAGGAGGAGGACGACGCACTGCACAGCTGCGACAGCTGCCGGCAGGTGTTCCCGTCGCTGAGCCATCTCACCGAACACAAGATTAATCAATGCCAGCTGACAGGTAAACACTGTTCAGCCCACCGAGCCCGACTCCACTCTGCACTCTTCTCCCACTGCTCTGTGCGCTTCATAAGACTGTGCCATGCACTGCACTGAGGGGGCACCACCAGCACCTTCACTGACGCAGGTCGCATAGAAACAGGTTTACTTTCAATAACCTTGGCTATAAATCCCATATAGATAAAATCCAATACCATTTGAAACCAAGTTTTCCCAAATTCCAATGATTTGTCCTGAAAAAGAAAACTAATCAGTAATTATCAATACCCTATATAAACCTAGTGCCTATACATTTTGTCTTTCTGAAGTCTGTAGATCTAAGATATTTTATGAAATTCTCGACTGATAATGCAAATGCACAGCAAACCAACCCACTTGTTATTCATGAGCTAGGCATCAATATGTACACAGCAGCAGACGTCCAAACAGGCCTCCATGTGTCCTTATAACAGATCACTCTAGGCTACACGCGCGTATTTATAGTCCCTGCATAGTGTCCTTGCTTGTTTCAGCACAACTCTCTCTCAACATTAGGCGGGTTTGAGCTTTTCACTGGCGTCCACTGCAGAGTATGGTCCACACAGTTCAAACATACAGGCTCCAGGAAAAGTCCCCTAGCTCAGTCGATGCTAGGCTATAGTCGCAGTGGTAATATCTAATGGGACTGAGAGAAGGATGCCAATGGCGGACTCTGTCATTGACCTGTTGATGGATGAATAGTGCTATAAATACGCTGACAAGGTGGCAGACAGAACTAATGATGTGCACCCAAGGTTTTCCATGTGCAACACTGGCCTCCTTTACACTGAAGCTGCGTTGAACATGGGAGATATATGTGAGCTAAGTATGGTGATTGCAACATAACAGAAAAATGCTGCTTCAGTGAATTATTTGTTTTTGTAGCTTTGATTGAAAATAATGCCCCCCAAAAAAATATACCACTGATGTGAAGCAAAACTAACCATTAAATTAAACCAATCGTTAAATTAGATCGCATACACAAAAGGGATACAAGAGGAACTGAGATTTAGGATATTTTTATGGATGATATTGATCAATTAGGTCTAAGTTTTAGACCTAATTTAGTTTTATAGAGGGTTAAGGAAATACATCCCTAAACCCTGGAAATTCTTCTTGAAAAAAATAGTTGGTTTTTTTGTCTCATTCAGCCTATTTATGGGCTTACAAATTCAATTGCTAGCCATTAGAACTGTATTGTAGCCAGCCTTTTTCTTATCACTCAAATAAGATAAGATAAGACAGACTTTATTGATCTCACAATGGAGAAATATACATTTGGCATAAATAGTATCAAAAGACAGAAAGAGTGCAACATTTTAAAAAGTGAAAAGATCTTTTTTTATGCAAGATATATTATGTACAATCAAATTAAAAGTGACTATAGCAGTGCAAGTTTACAGTCCTAGTGCAGGCCTCTCTGTATGTAGTAGTATTTTTCAAATCACAATTAACAGACCACAATTTATAGGTAAAACTTATAAGCTTTTGCAAATTTTCCATTCACTCAATCCCTATCCAAAGATTTTGATTTGTTATGCTATGATTGTATGCATATTTCTCACATCAATTCAAAACTAAAGAAAAACACATGTGCCTTATAATGGTGACGTTGTGAGCTGTTGAGTCTGTTTACGTTAGCGTGCGACTCTTGGGTGTTCATCTGTGTGCAAATTCTAAAAAATGCCACACTCTGTCGACAGGAGAGGTGTGAATGAAAATCAATGTGTATGTTTTCTACACGTCAGTGGTTTTTATAAGGACCTTTTAAATTCATGCCCGGATAATGAAGAAGGTGACATGTCTGGGATCGCGTCTTACATTCAGACAGAAGACATGTTTTATTGTCAATGGTAGAGACAGCACGATCAAAGCACACGATCACAGAAACAATAGAATGCAAGTGTATTATACAGAGCGGAGGCATGGAGACCTCCAATCAGCAGCTTCCACGGTGTGCTTGTAGCTTGGCCTTCAGATAGACAAAACAAGGGAAAAGTACTGGCTTCTGCACATTGATAGAATGATGAGTTTAACTTTAACAAAAGTTGCTTCAAAGTGTTATGAAATCTCACATTCCCCCCTCTGGTCATACATTCACGTGTGACCATCAGGATCGATAAACAGCAACATAACATCATAACTCAATACTTCAAAAACTCATAAACTCGGTACTTCACTCGGTACCTCAAAAAACTCAGAACTCGGAATACTTCAAAAACTCATAAAACTCATAAAACATGTTCAGATCTTTCATAAAACTTGTCAACAATCTTCAGTAAAATACCAAACTTCATCAGTCGATGGTGGTTCCAGACATTGCTTTGAAAACAGTCTCTCCCACTTCTCCGTGTTGGTTTCTTCAGGCTGCATTTGTGTCGAGCCATGAATTCTTCTGTGACGTGTCTTTCAATCACACGTTTCAGCTTCAGTGTCCAGATTTAGCAATTCAATTCAGTCCAAATTATGTCCAAATTCAGAAATCCAATTGTTCCAAATTATGTCCATGCAAAAGAGGACGATGGTCTTGTCCATGTCTCAGCAGCTCACAGCCTGAGTGGAATCAGGGGCTGTGCAGATTGTCCAAGTGTGCTGGTCCAGATGCATTCTCTTGAGGTTTCTCAGTTTTGGCTTAAAAAAAAACACTTTTTGTGTAAAAAAAAAAGTCTTCTGTTCACTAGATGTTACAGACATGCCCGCATTCTCCACCACCTGAAGAAGATGACAATAACATCAGAAACGGGTTATAATTCAAAAAGAGACTTATAGATGAGTTTTTGTAAGTAAAACGGCTGCAATAAAAACAGCTAAGTACAAATAATAAAGGACTTTTCTCAATCACAATTTATGTTTTTTTATTAGTTTGTTTGCTACCTTCACAAAGCCAAGCATTCTGTCGCTGAATGGCCTGTTACCCATCTCCTTTGGGTGTTAATGCTCTTTAAAGTGACTAAACAAGTAGCTTAATTTGGTGCCAGGATATGTTTTAAGCAGAGTGGACAAAATTACATTGACATATTACATTCTATTTTAAGTATTTCTTATTTGAAGCATACACTGCAGGTTTTTTTGAATACTGCCTCTTTCATTCACCATTGCTTCATATCATGATCAGTATCATTTCAGTATAAGTCAGACATTTTGTTCTCACAATTAGGCTTGCTTTCATGAATGTCAATCTTATGGACAAATAGTTCTTAATTGCTCAGTGATAAAAACAGGCAGTTTGGATAAGGGCCCCTGTGGAAAGCAAACAAAAGATTATAATTGCCATTAGGGCATCGTGATTGTGCAGAAACACTCCATTAGTATTCAAACCGGGATGGAGAAAAGAAACTTGAAGATGGCATACTAAGTACTGCGTGCATGTTTGTGTATTGGAAGTAATATGGGAGGAGATTTCCTATGTGGCATTATGTAGACATCCATGACCAATTAATCTGCCTTACATCAAGTCTCTACTCACAGATGGATCCTTTATTAGAAGCATTTTCTAATCAAGCGCCGACACCTGCTAAACTCTAATTTTTACAATTTAAAATGTTTTATTTTTGGTAAACAAATTGCAGAGCTTGACTGGAACCAATCCACATATGCAGATTTGCTTGCTGTTCCTAGACTCAGATGAACATTTTTCCCTCAGCTTCATGTTTTGTATTAAAACTAGTCTGGAGAAGTAGTTTTTATTTGACATATTTTCAGGTAGTGTTTACATTGAATAAGTTCCCTTTGTCCTTTTGTAACTAATAATAATTATAAAAGAGTGTTGGTACTACTGATCTATTGCTGTTGCATTACAGTCTTCTCTTGTGGCAGATTCACATGTAGGCCTCATTATGGTTGTTCACATTTATATTTTTGTGCCCAGACTTGAGGCATGCTATGCTAGTGGACCACACCCCACAGACAGCTAAAGGAAGATGTTACATGTCACCTCGATCAATGGCCGCCATTGTCTCTCTCTGTCTGGCCGAGGTATAACACCTTTCCATGCACTTAAGCCGTGACCACTGCAGTGCGCTAAGGGAGCGCATGGCTATGGATTGCCTCGTGTCCCCAATGCGATCGGTGCTATTGATCGCACTAATGCTGGACTGCAGAGGAAGGAGAGGCTGAGAAATGGAGCGAGGGAGAAGGAGGAGATGAAGAGAGAACTGCAGGAATGCATCCCTGGGGAGCCCGTCTTTGGCTGGGGCAGGGCTTCAGGAATGCTCCCCAGGAGAGCAGCACGAAGGCAGGGTTAGGGCTGAAAGAATGCTCCTCCAGAGACTGAAGAGTGGAGGCTGCTGGGGCAGGGCTGGAGGAATGTACCCCCAGAGCAGCCCTTCAATCTGGGTAGAAGAGAGAGGCTTGCCTCCCTCTGCGAGGAGACAGCTCTGCCTTCCTCTGTGGGGGAGACAGTCCTCCCTCTGCGGGGGAGAAGTCTCTGTCCTCCTTGTGGCTCCAGGATGGCTGCGGATCAGGTTTCCTGCCGACAGAGCTGGAGGTTACCCTTGGGAAGAGACAGGAGGCTGGGGGGCTGTATGCGTCCATAGGCCCTTCCAAAAAACTACTTTACTAAGAGATTTGTGTGGTCCACACAACACAGGCTTATACCTCATCGGAAAATCTTTTTCATTTTCAGCCCATGTTTACTAGAAAACCCACAAAGTACACAAAAATAACACTGCAGCTCAAAGTTTAATACAGAAGATCACATTTCACGAAGCCCCTACATGAGCTCGATATTTGAATAGCCTGGTGCGCACGGCCTGGGCCTGGTGGCCATTCTTTCATTATGGGTCTACCTCCCTTGAGCTACACCTTTCCTTGTGTCCTTCACTAGAGGAGGGGCATGGCGGCCTCCCCAGGAGAGCTCCGTGCCCTGCTATTTTAACCCTCTGTGAGATGACCTTTTTAATAAGTGTCTTACTCTGTTTTCCTGCCGGCCACTGTGCGAGCAAACAGAGCATGTCTTCTGCTTCCCTCAGATAAAGGAATCAA